TGATATTCCTACATGGCATTTTCATTTGGCTTAGAATTCTTTACCCTGGCTGTCTTGTCAAATTTTTTCAAATAATTTACATTTTCCTAAAATACAGTAAGAAATTGCCTCCTTGAATGGCATAAAATTTTGAATGACATCAAATTTATAATGCTAAACATATTCTTGAAATGTACATTTGGTTAAAATTAAACCTTGGATATTCATTATATCAAAAATTTGACTTTGGAATGTCTTTCATTTTTAAAGATCTAAATTTGGAAGGTTTATTTTGTTAAAAGATTGAATCATAAATAAAATGTTCATTATGTCAATGATATAATTGTAATATGTTTATTTTGTCATAAGAATTAACCTGGAAAAAGTTTGCTAAAAAGTCATTCCGCTATTAAAATGTCTATTTTGTGAAAAAGTTCTATTTCTAAATTACTATTTTTATCAGAAGACTTACTTTCCGGAAATGCTAATTTTGTCAAAAGATCTGATAGTTGTTTTGACCAGATTTCAAACAAATATTTTTTTTGCCAACTATTAAAATAAATATCACAAAAGAAATATAATAAAGATTTTTCAAAACTATCAGACCCTTATTCAGTCCAGTATTAAAGTGAAAACATACTCTCAATAAAACATTCTCAGGTGGTCTCACCAATCAACCAAGATGTTTTTTTAAAAATTACTTATTGAAAAAGGTATAGAATATGTAAACTGTATGTGTGAATATATTACCTTTGGCCAGGTGTTATTCAATTAAATGTCACACATTGATTCAATTAAATGTCATTAATTGATCTATCTAATTGACATTTACTACTGGTTGATATAATAATCATTATGCACACTTCACAGTTTTAATTTCTATTTCATTCCTTTCTATATTAAAACAAAATATTTCTAAAGTTAAACACCTGGGCATGGTTTAAGAAATGAACTAATAAAATAACCTGTCAGTTTCATCTATTTCAGAGCAGAAATTGTAAGACAGCAATGATTTTAAGAATTAAATATCAATGAAACATTGACTCAATAGTAGTCTCTATTCTTTCTTAACCTTTAACCTGCTGTATAAATGGATGAATAAAGAAACAGGCCATTTAAAGTTTAAACACGGAACAGTCCTTTCAAAGTTTAAACATGGAACAGTTCATTTAAAGTTTAAACACGGAATAGTCCATTTAATGTTTAAATATAGAACAGTCCATTTAAAGTTTAAACATGAAACAGTCCATTTAAAGTTTAAACATGGAACAGTCCATTCAAAGTTTAAAGGATTTAAGTATCAAATTCAAGCTACTAACAGCATAATCTTAGAAGGCTTGGATGTCAAGGATGGCTCTACAATTCGTGCTAATGGATTGCGGCTATAGCCACTTTCAGGTCTATACTTAAATAGCAAAGGCTAACCACTTTCAGCCCAATATTGATGGCAAGGCTGTTGGTTTAAAGGACAACTTTTCAGGGTATTTCAGGTCAATATTAATGGCAAAGGCTAACCACTTTCTGTTCCAGCAGGTTCAGGGAGGCAACCAGTGTCTATCTTGAACTGTCAGATACAAAAATTGTATTGTATAGTAAATACTTAAATTAAAGACAACACTTGAAACAGAATAATTTATATACAGAGATACAAGCTTAGGCTCTTTACACCCCTATCTTATTTGCTACTTGTTCCGACCAGTGAATACAAGAAATTCCTGATAAAAGAGTTGAAAAGTGAGCTCAGCGGGAATCTAACAAGAGAAGTGTTAGCTTTTGGATTTTCTCCATGGTGTTTTGACTGCCTGTTAGAATGATAGACAAACATTAACAAGAGTGTTCAAAAAAATATAACCGAAGGAAGTAATTCTGTCCAATTACTATCCCAGTTCATGTTTTATAGTGTATATAGCTGAGGCACGTGGCTATCAAGTTGTAAATACTTTCACCACTCACTGTTTGTGTGTAAAAGGGACAATTGTTATGATTAACAATTTAATAGCCTGAATTTTTTTTCCAATTTGACAGTTCATGAAGGAAAGGACCTTAAGCAGGGGTTTGGAAACTCAATTCTCTTGTGATGAGGTGGAGGGAGGGGTGTTATAAGACTGAGAGTTTAGAAAAGTATTTACTTTTTACTTGTACTCTTTTCTTCCTTTTTTGCCAGTTTTGAAGGGCAATTATCCATTGTATTGCTTATCAGCTACAAGTATAATAACTTTCCAGTTCTGATGATGACTAACTGGTGAAAGAATACCTCAGGTGCTTTATGCATTATTTTCATGCACGAAAAGGACACCAAATTGAAACCTGAAACACTTTTCCATAAGCTAGCTGGATAGAAATTGAACGAAGAAATATGAGCATTACAGAATTCAAAGAAACTGTTGTTTTCTTCTTAAAATATATGTTATACAAGACAATGAATTTGTTCTTTGAAAATATCATCATCGTCAAAGATTATTAACCGCAAGGATATCAAATATAATTAACAACTACTTCCACAAGAATTTTTGCCTTGAAAATTGTAAAAACCTCTTCTAATAAACCGTAATATTGCAGTAATTTCAGCCACGCACATCCTAAATAAGGGAGAACTGTTCTTTATTACAGATTAAGATTGGAAAACAGGCAACATTAATAGCTCTAGAAACCTGTTTTTTAACCAAATATCCCCTCATAATTGAACAGTACATTCATTATTAATTTCTATAAAATCTTGACAGACAGAATTGTAATATTAAACTTTTATACAAATAAACAATGTAAAATGATGATAAATACACGGGTACTTCTCTGTGATGTTTATGTTTTACTGAGTAAAGAAAAACTTTAACTGCTCAAAACTATGATGTTATATTTAAAAACTTAAACTGTTCAAATAAACTTTTACCTCTTGTGAGACTGTTTCCAAATAGATTGCAACAGGTATATCATACTGTTGGTAGTTCTCTTTTTTGTATTTGTGATATTGAAATCCCTTTAACTTTGAATAAACTGTTCAAAATTCAAAGCTAGGTAAAACCAATGCATAAATACAACATTAATTAATGGTCAAGATAACGTTTTGGTTATGATAAGTAAGAATCAAATACAGATAAATGAAGCAAGCAAAACACACCATAACCTGAGTCAGCCCGCACAGCTCAACCAGTTAGAGAACGAGACTTATAAATATCGACAATGTGGGTTCGATTCCGGGCTGGCCAGCTTAAATTACTAATCAGTCTTTCGCGTGAGACTTTAAATCGAGGTCCCATGTAAGAGTGCTTGAACACTTGGCACGCTAAAGAACCAGGAGAAGCTTCTTGAATTGGGGTAACTTTCTGTATCTGTATTTTGCACTATCCGCCAAAATCTAAAATGACTAATACTCTTCTGTAGGACCCGCCCATATGGGCAACTGGTGGCAAGTATAAATAAACTCAAATACAAATTAACACACACACCATAACCTGTCACACTAAATGCCTCAGATGTTTTAGAAATTTTAATTTAATTTATATAACCCTTCCAATTACTGAAGTTTACTAGCTGTATTTTTTTCTTCTGCCTTTAACTAATAAAGATCAAAAAGTTACATTATCAGAATAAATATATCATTCTAAGTTAGAACGATGTATAAGAAAAACCTGTACAAATATTTCATATCTGATAACAGCATTTTGATTGCTGCAGATATGTATTTTATATGTCTGATGTTCAGTCATAATTCTCTGCAACTGTTTTGTACCCGTAAATCAACATATTCCTACGCACACATCAAACGCGGGCGCAAAAATACAAGAAAAAAATCCCAAATTTCTTCCATGCAGACTTTATCTGTAAAAACCTTTTAACAATCATCATTTATTTCTTAATTATATCCCGTTTATGCCCTCTGCAAAAACTTGTTTCATATCCTAGCCTTTAAGTTTCATAAGAAAACCGGCACATAAAAGTGTCGTAAAATTATGGTTATGATAAAGAATTAATGGTATATGACTGTATTATGG